GGATCGTGGAGGACCCCAGGCGACAATTGGCCAGTTTCTCCAAGAGGCGATCATGGGACACCAGATCGAAGGCTTTTTTGAAGTCAAGATATATGACATCAATCTCTTCTCCCTTGTCCAGGTTATAGGTCACCTGGTCGTAGAAGGAAATGAGATTGGTCAAGCAAGACCTACCCTCAACAAACCCGTGCTGGCTATCCCTTAAGATGTTGACGTCGTCCAGTCCATTAAGGATGGCCTCTTTAATAAACTTTTCTAAGATCTTCCCCGGGATAGAAGTCAGGCTGATGGGCCTATAGTTAGCCGGATCCACTTTCCTCCCTTTCTTGAAGATAGGCATCACATTGGCCTTCTTCCAGTCTTCGGGCACTACACCAGAGTGCCAAGAGTTTTCAAAGATCCGTGCTAGAGGCTGGGCTATGATGCTCGCCAGCTCCTTGAGTACCCTGGGGTGAAGATTGAATTGAATAAGATGGAGCTCAAAGGGGTGCTGCAAGGTGCTAGTTTCTCCATGTGAAATAGGAAAATGGACTACCGTTAAGCCCTTGTAGAAGAGATAAGAGGAAATATATTGTTTCTATTATGTGGTTCACCTCCCGGCCCTGCCCAAGTTACTGTACTGTAAATTGCCAGCAGTGGGAAAGGTTGATGCAACTGCTGAATCCTCTCTCAAAACTCAGCTTCCTCTCCCTTTACTAGAGGGGCGAGACCCAGCTAGCATTGTAGCTAGCATTGCAGGAGGCAATGCTTGCCCTGTGGCTTTGCAAGGAAGTCAGGAAAGAGTAAAGGGGTAGCACCTTAAGTGAGCAGATGCTGCATAACATGTATTTACCAGAAGTCTTGAAAGCTGTGGTCCCTCCTTGTCCTTCTCTCCACCCTCACCTCTTTTTATGGAAAAAGAAATGAAATATAGTATATGGCAGGATAGGAGTTGAGGCACTGTACTTCAGAGCAGGGGTTGTCAACTGGGGTATGTGAGAAGGCCTTGGGCAGACAGGCAGGGATGGACTGCCACCATGCACTATCCTGTGCTGCTGTGCAGGTGCTACCCACCTGGCCAGCCACGGGGTAGGGGAAGCTTGCATGCAGTGGCGTCTGTCCTGTCTGTCTCAGTGGCTGGAGGTACACTGCTTCATGTCTGGTTGCTGGGGGATACAATGATTCAAAAAGGTTGAAAACCCCTGCTTCAGAGCATTAAGGATATGAAACTGTTATAAGTGTGCCCTTAAATCTTTTGTAGGGACTGACAGCTGTTCAGTGTTGTCAGTTAAACAGTTGAATTTAGGTTTGAGGGTGGGGTGGTTTGGGATTTGATTTGGGGTTTGTTATTTTTAAGTGAAACGGAACACTACCTTTCAGACTCCCATCAGGACTACTTAGTGTGTGTATGCATTCATGCATGTTTATGGTAATGTGTTTTATTAGGGAAGAACTTTGTGTGAGATGCTGAAGTTGGTTTGGCTCCTCTGCTGTGAGGCTCAGATACCTTGGTAGACTTCTTGGTGGTTATTGTAGGTTGGGGTTTTGTTTTTGTTTTTTTTTTTTGGTTGTTTTTTTTTTTTTTTTTTTTTTTTTTTTGAGGGGGTGGGAAGTTGTAGGAGGGAAAGATCCCTCAAGCCCAGCCACTCATGACACCAAGACATACTCAGTGGAATAGGTAGATCTTTTACTTTGTGTTTTTAATGAGCATTTAAATGTCAGTTGATACCAACACAATATGAAGCACAAATTAATCATCGGTCCGTTAAATAGACAGATTTAAAGCATATGGTGGGGAGGAAAAAGCAGTGAAATAGTTGTTGATGCTTATTCTATTTAATGATCTCGGGAGTGAAACTACGTTTAAGAAAGCTGAGGAATGTAAATTGCCACTGGAAGGAGCATCAAACACTTGTTCCCAAAACCTTCATGGAATAATTGATGTTTGCAACAAATGCACTGTGTTTTTCTTTCTAGAAAAATGGGGCAGTTGAGGGTGAAGTTAAGACTTGAAATGTTTGCCAAAGAAATGAGTCTGGTACAAACATGCTGGGGGGGATGGGGAAGGAGGAGGCTGATAGGGAGTAATGGCACAGTGCAGAAGTGGTATCCTATGAGAAGTCTAGAAAATGTTGCTGCTCCTCCTGAAAACTAAGGTGGCAACTGCTGTTTGCAGTAAGGAGAGAAGAATCTCCAAGATCCTTTCGTTAAATCTGGTTATATTGGCATTTCTTAGCATGTACTTCTCTGTGAACCTTCTGCTGCAGACCTCTTGATTTTTTTTTTTTTTTTTTTTTTTAATTTTTTTATTATGCTTATATTCTAGACCCACGCCTTTGAGAGAGCCATATATCAAAATTGGATTGGGTTTAAATGTTTGTAGGACCTCATGTGGTAGTAATGGATGAGCCCATATCTAGCTGTACTTTCATGTTGCCTAATTCAGCTTCTCTTCCTAGATGTTCCCAGTAGTCAGAACTCTCAATTATCATTGTAATAATTTGAGTAGCAATACTGGCTTGAAGAGCTGCCAACCTACCTGCTTCAGTGCTGTTTAAAATAATGACATTCTAGAGTTTTAAATACCCATATAATTTGTTTTGAGCACTTAATAAATATAATCTTTTGGCAGCTAACCTCTTCTAACATTATTTCTTGGTACTCTAGTCTACAGGATTGTACCAAGAAGAGGGAAAAGCTGGCCAGTTGGGTGACAGTTATTTTAAATGGAAACCTTGGCCTGCCAGGAGTAAAGTGCTATGTAAATTTCTGCGTACATTTCTGATGCCATACTGGAGCATTACTAATTTGAAGATAATATTGCTTTCCTCTGAACATCTTCATATCTTATTTAAATCATATTCTGTGAGTAGACAGTATAAGGCAAGACGAGTTGCATCCTGTAGGGAACAAACTGGTATGGAAAAGGCAGGGGATGGAGACATCCTCATGGGCATGACCAGGTAACTGATAATTGTCAAGGTGGTGTACTGCACTACAGGTAAAGCTTGGAAAACTTGAATAAACCTTTTTGGTCTTTGCAGGTGAACATATGCTTTAAACAGCAAGGGAAGAGGCTAGAACACCAAGGAATTAGAATTGAATTTGTAGGACAAATTGGTGAGTTTTTTACAATGGAGTATAGATGTGTAGATGTGACTTACAGAGCTTTTTAAATTCATGATTGTCAGTTGTATTACTCAGTCATCACAACTGCATCAGGTTAGTAAAACAAGTTCTAAAGGAAGATATGTCCTGGTTATTTTTAATATACTGTTTTTATGCTTGTTAGAAATTGGAATAAAGGGGTTGCTATTCAATTCTTGCCCTTCAAAGCCTATTTTTTAAAAAGATGAGTAAGAAATAAGAGCTCTTTCCAGACTTCTCTGACTGAGAAGAAAGTGTGGCTGGCACTTGATCAAACACTAAGTTCATTATTGCTTTACTGGGACTTTTGCAGTCATCATTTACACCAAGGCTGCCCAACCCAGAGGTGGGTTCAGGCAGTGGAAGCTAAAGAAGGGAGGGGGAGCCTGGAGATTGGCAGCAGTTGCAGGAGTATCATTTGGACTGAGGGCCACATGTTAACTTCTTGGAGCTGCATGTGGCTTGCAGGCCACATTGATGGTTCTGATTTGCACGCTCAAATTTAAGACCTGGAAAACAGGTATGTTTTTATACCACCAGTGGCACTAGTTTGGAGAAAAAGGTCTATGAATTAATGTATCCTGGTTATTCCTTATATGGCCTCTATTTAAAGCAGTAAAACAAAATGCTAAGCCAGTGCGTCTCAACCATTTTAGGTTCAAGGCAGCTCCCTGTAATTCTTGTGAATTGAGTGGCACCCCCTTTTAAAGAAGAAAAAAAAAAACAAACCCCAACTTATTGCAGTGCTTACCTCTGGGGGGTGGGTCAGGGGAATGGCCAGGTGAGGACTGAGCCTGTGCTTTGCTGCTTATGTCCTTGCACCTGGTTTATCTTGTTCCACCTTTCAGAGAATGTCACATTACCCCTGGTCAAGAATTGCTGTGCTAAGCATTTGCCTATCATGTAGGTAAAGAGAACCTTTAGTCTTTGGTTGCTTCTTTAGAAGGCTGCGGGGTATAGGAAATGATGGGTAATATGGCCTACAGTTCAACATTTCTGGAAATACTTTTGTGGCATTTTTAGCTCTCTAATGTATAATTACATACTGCTCCCTAATATAAGTGTCCAAAAACCTCTAGAAATGAAGATGATCCTATAATGTTTCTTGGTAATACAGCATTAGGAAAGCAGATGTCCGTCCTTCCTATCCCCCTCCACCTTCAGATTTAAACACTTGAGTAAAATGCTGTGAAGAATCAGCATCATGTGTTCAGGTTCAGATGATTTTTGGTAAGCAAAAGTATATACAATTTGTCTTTGGAGTTTAATATATTTGTCTTCCTTTATGAGTGTCAAAAACCATTCTTTATTGTGTTCCATGCTGAATACATATCATGAAAAACTAAAAAAAGACTAAATTCTGATTGGTCACTCATAATTAGTCATCATTACTAGTCCCTTTGCAGTGACTAACAAACTAGATTTTTCTGTAAGTAACTAAAATGAAATAGCTGTCAGAATAAGCAAGCAAAATTATTTTTTGCAAAGTCACTTTTATTAGGTTCACTTTGTAATATACAATGAAAAGTAACTTGTAATGGATTTATCACCTATATCGCTAATATGTTTTAATTTCAGCAAAACCAACTTAAAGTTGTGGGATCTTCTTGAAAGGGGGAACATGTTTAGCTTAATGAATTTACTTTAAATTCTCTGGCTAAAAACCTAAATTAAGCATAATAAAATACTTCGATTGTTGTTGATAGATAGTGGGTAATAACTGTTTACATTTCCACTTCCTAGACAACAGCTTTAAGTTTTCTTCTCTTTCAACTTGAAAAAATATATATCGAGAGAGCTATCAGGTTAAATCTAGCAACAAGATGAAATAGGAGGTGCTGTATTCAGTTGTGGTGAAAATGGAGATCTGCTTGAACTGAAATAAATGGTTAAGAGAATTTATCAGCGATCTACCTTTTAGACTGGTCTTTCTCTTGGTGACTTATGAGATTAGTTGGTAGTCATGGTCCTGTTCTAAATGGGGAGGTTTTTAAAATTTAAGAGGTATTTGCTTGTTTATTTATAAAATATACCTTCCTTTGACTTTTTCTTGCTTCTATACTTTAGAACTCTTCAATGACAAGAGCAATACACATGAATTTGTAAACCTAGTGAAAGAATTGGCCTTACCTGGAGAACTGACACAGAGCAGAAGTTATGACTTTGAGTTTATGCAAGTTGAGAAGCCATATGAATCCTACATTGGTGCCAATGTCAGATTGAGGTATGAATATATTTAAAAATAAATAAATAAAGCTCCTAACAAAACAGCAAATTTTAAATCTGATAGTACAGCTATTAAGATATGAAAGGTCAGTGTGGCCTGCTGTTCTGTTGAAAATTTCAGTGTGCCTTAACTATGGTGCAGTCTTGGCTCTCATGAAGTGTCTGTTGGGGAGGTGGGGAATCATTAATGCCAATTATTCTAGTTTGTAGTACTGGTAAATCCTTCTTGGCAAATAACTCGGTGGTGAGGAACTTGTAATCTTCAGGGGTTTCCTAAAAGCTTGGGGTTCTTCTGAATCGGACTTCTTCAAGGTGGAGTGTATATATAAAATAGTTTCAGTATGTGTTCAACAAAATGTAGTTATGTCAGGTGTCTACATGCTGTCGAATTTTAAAATACTGGCGTTGTGTTTAAAAGTAAAATTATTGTTTGTACTTGCTGGGTGTGCGGAAAAAGGAGGGATCCTGATCCTGACTCGTAGGAAGGGGTTGGGATTATGTTGTTTTCAGTTAATGAACTTCCGTTTGCCTGACTGGGGAGGGCAGGATCACATGGAGGGTAAACCAAGGATCATTCTTTATCAGATCTGTTGTAGAAAGGCTTTCTGCAAGAAGTGGCTTTTTTCTGGCTCTGTTTTTCTGCTTTCAATTCCATTCATACAAACTGGTCATCTCTGAAGGGCTGACCCCCTTTTTTTTTTTTCTTTTTCCTGTTTGGTAAACAGGCCATTGGTCCAATTTTAATAGGAAGTTAGCTTATGAAGATTTTTTTTCTTTTGCTGAATGCGTTGTTCTGATTTGTTTTCCGTTCTTATGCTCGTTAAGAAAATAGCACTTACTAGCACACTGCTTGTATTGATCTGAACACCAAAATTAAGACTTGGTGTCTGTGGAGACATTTTATAGAGAAGAATATAAGGAAACCTTTGTTTTATACTGTTCAGAATAATTGTGGATCTAGATTAAAATTTCTAGAAAAAAATTAGTGACGAGCAAGGATATTTTGGGGATTTTTTTTATACACCAGCTGCATAATTGGGAGAAATCGTAGGGCACAAGATATGCTTCCTTGGGTCTGGGAAAGAAGCAGATGCGGTTTGAGCCAAGTATCTGATAGAACCTGTGTAAAATGCCGTATGTCAATAAAGCAGGGGTTTAGGTTGTAGCCGTGTTGGTCTAAGGACATAGGAGACAAGGTTCCTTGGGTGAATTTGATATCTTTTATTTGACCAACACAAATGCCTGACGAAGGGTTTTTTGAACCTGAAAGCTTGCTTAATAACTATTCTCCAACCATTTGGGTTGGTCTAATAAAAGATATCAAATTCACCCGAGGAACCTTGTCTGCGTATGTCAATAAAAACAGTCTGTTTAAAGGAATGGAGCAGGGCAGTAAAATGGGAGTGAAAGGACATAAGCAGGAGTACCTGAAGAACAAGAAAAATGCAATAGAAAGGATAACCGGACTGGTGGAAGAGCAAGACTGTTCAAGTGCGAAGAGGGTCATTATCACGTGTGAAGTACAGGGAGATTAGCAGTGATTGCAGGTGGATTTTAATGGGTCAGAGTCAGTATCTTAGTCTTGTTTTTTTAGTGTCCAGTAAACTTATGAATTTTTATCCCAAGTTTGTCTTCTGAAGATATTTTGTAAACATCCCCTGTGCACAAGGATTGAGGCCAGAAATGAAGTGCTCTCCCATTTTTGTGTGTGATCCTTTTTCTGTGTTCATTCTGGTGCATAGGCTAGGTTTTTGGGTTTGGCTTTTTGTTTTTTTTGGTTTTTTTTGTCTGGTTTCACCCACGTCGTTTCTCTGAGGGCACTTAGTGCTCTGGATGAGTTTTATACCATGTTCTGGAGTAGATGTATGTGAGGATCCCTTCATTCACATAGTTCTGTTGAGAGAGGAGCAGCATTAAATATGGATGCAGTAGAGGTGAATTGCTAGGTTTTGCATGTATTAAGTCAGAGTTGGGTCTCATTAGGTGCCTGTTGCTCAGTGGGGAGCGTGCTTCTGATGATGAGTTTTGCAAGATTAAGGGGGTTGTCTGAAATCTGGTGGAGCAAGGGTTGGACTTGGAAATTTTTTCTCAAGGTCTGATCCTTTTCAAAAATAGACTGTAATTGTTTGATCCTTCTTACTGATTCAAGTGTGGGATGGTTACAACCAGGGTTGTCCGGTCAGTTGTTTGGGTTTTTGTTTGTTTGTTTTTTATAATAGTGTTGGGTATTTGGCTGACTCAAAGATATGGGCGTTCTTGCTGAGTAAAGGCAGCTTTCAGGTTGGCTGGGTGGACATTGCAAGTATTCTCACAGCAGATGGAATGGTATCTGGGGACCTAACTATGTTCCAGCTCTTTTTTGGTGTGTTCGGGATGATTGCTACTTTTGTGGATGGAAGTATGGTGGTCTGTGGGTTTTTGTGTTTTGTGTATGTGTATAGTACTGGGTGCCATTCTGACCTGCGGATTGTGCTATCTAGAAAATGTGCTATTTGTGGGCGCGTCCACATAAGCGTTCACGTGCCTGTTGCCCCAGCTCAAACCCCTTCGAGGCAGGGCAGCAGGCACATGCGGGAACAAAGAAATGTTCCCTGTGCTGCAAACTTGCAGCATGGGGAGAAAATTTGACCCCTGGATATCCAGGGGCTTAAAATAAGCGAAGTATAAAAAAGCGGGGCAGGGCATGGTCCATGACCCTGTTGGGGGGCCATAGCCCTGTGGGAAGGCTGCAAACTATGTATTCATGAATTTATGAAACCTGTATTTAGAGTTCACTTTATTATTATAAGAGACTTGCTTTAACACTAGATATGTCAATAAAACATTGTCCAACTGATTGCTATCGCTGTCTCTGTCTCTCCCTTTATAGTGGTCTTTTGTTTTACTTGTGGAGGAACATGGATTTGTGGGTATTTTCCAGAGTGACTTTGGGATTTTTTTATCAGGGATTTTTCAGTTTTCCAATAGGGAACACCAGAATTCCTGCTAGGGAGGCCAGTGGCAGGACCCTGCTCGTGCTTGTAGGGAGGCAGTTAGACGGGCCAAAGCTGCCATGGAGCTGAGGATGGCATCCCAAGTAAAAGACAACAAGAAATTGTTTTTTAGATATATTGGGAGTAAAAGGAAGGCCCAGGGAGGAATAGGACCCCTGCTAAATGGGCAGAAACAATTGGTGACAGACAGAGGGGACAAGGCTGAACTCCTCAACGAGTTCTTTGCCTCAGTGTTCCTAAGGGAGGGGCATGACAAGTCTCTCACTGGGGTTGTAGAGAGGCAGCAGCAAGGCGCCAGACTACCATGCGTAGACCCTGAGATGGTGCAGAGTCATTTGGAAGAACTGGATGCCTTTAAGTCGGCAGGCCCGGATGAGCTCCATCTGAGGGT